CAATTTCATTAACACTCACAATAATTCAAAATCATGTGAAAATGATATTAGTATTTTAAAAGAGAATAAAAGCATTCTTACTCGAATAGTTGATCATAGCAAGGGCCAACCTCCAATTAAAAGGAAGCAGTCTATAGTTGAAAAGGCAGTGAAGAAAAAGAAAGAAAGAGAAAGGAAGGTAGAGAATCAATGTGGTGTTGAAAACTTAGCCAAACAAATATGAGCTACAACTAATGAGGGTGCTAAAGTGAAGGTATTTTTTTTTTTTTGGCAGCCACATTAATTTTAATACTTTGCATTCAACATTTTTTTTCTAACTTCGGAGAAGGCTAACTTTTTTTTGCATGTTGTAGGAGTGCGAGGAGATTGTAGATGAATAAGGTGTGGTCGAAACAGATGAGAATGTCACATTAAGTGTGATGATGCACAAATTGGCTTTGTGCAATATCAACAGTTAAAAATGTATAAGGGTGTAATTAATGAGCAATAAATAGGCAATCAATGGTAAAACAGTAAATAAGAGTCAACACAAAGATTTATAGTAGTTCCTACAGACGGTGTCAAACTGATGATGCACAAATCGGCTTTACGCAAGATCAACAATCAAGAATGTATAAAAGTGCAATTAATGAGCAATAAATAGACAATGAATGGCAAAATAGTAAATAAAAATCAACACAGATTTATAGTGGTTCGGTCTGGATGACCTATTCCACTCTCAGGAATGACAGTGGTGGCCGGAGATCTTTATTGATGAATAATGTAGCCGGGAGAGTGCACTCTAGATGAATTACAATGTCTTGGAAGAGAGGAGTAATGTGTGTAGAGAGGTGTGTAGAGGTTTCAAGGTCATGTCAAGATGTCTCTCCTTGTGGAGAAAGCTTACATTATATAGGTTTAGTAAGGCGGTGACGTGAGGGAGATGACTTCTACCATTTTGGTAAGTATAATTAAAGCAAGATTAGATCTCTGTGCATATCCTCATATTCTCTTCATCGTCCTCCTATTTATTCGGAGGATGATCCTGGGCTTGGACTTGAATTGGTGGATGCTGGACTTGAATTGGAGTGAAAGAGTTAAAAGGGCGAAGGACTCCACGAGGTTGTTGAGGAGAGGGAGCAAGGGACAAAGGAAGGAAGGATTCCTTTGGGCAGCACCCCTTTGGGGTAGCCCCTTGAGGGTGTTCCCCTTGAACTCCTTCTTGACTTTGGTTTTCCTTGACTTGGGCTCCTCCTTGACTTGAGCTCTTTCTTGACTTGTTGACTTGGGCTCCGAGGTGACGTGAGTCTTTCTTGATTAATTGGGCCTAGACCAGTTAATTTCAGGCTCATCAAAGGGTAAAAAATTTTTGTAGTATATTGTTTTAAACACCATTTATTCATTTGACATTGTGTGTTAAGTAAATTATAAATAAATTTTAAATTATATATAGGTGGATGAACATGCTTTAAATATGGGTGGATGGAGTCCTGAATTTAAGCAACCTGTCAAGTGGCCAAATATAAGTGGTTGGCCAATGAACATTGGAATAAGTTCATTTGAGCAACAGTATAGGGAATAAGGATAAAGTTTCCATCCATTCCAACCAAATGTTCACCCGGCGTTTTATCGTGATAATAGTTTTGAAGTACAAGTAAATGTGTTTTTTTTTTAATTTTGATTTCATCTTTATTTGTATTATTTATTTTACTTTGATTTCAGGCTTAATATTACCCAAATTGGAAGAGTACGCAATCAATAATTGTGCAACCCGCTAGTTTCGCCTCAAATTTTGAATTGAATGAAGACACGGAAGTTCAAAAATTAAAGAATCATTTTTTTAAATGAATGCATGTATTGTTAAGTGTCATAGATTTGTATTGTTTTAAGTGTTGCTGGATATGAGACTTGATATGAGACCATTAATTTTGTGTTTGTAAGAATTGTTGGAACTTATGGAACTTGTATGATTTGGGCCAAAATTTTGTTCTAATGAAAATTGTTGTGTGTTCAATTTAATAGTCTTTGAATGGTGGATATATAGTCATAGGTCTGGCTAAATGCCCTCAATGGTTTCGTGGAATAGTTACAGATCGCATATAGTTATGCATTATTTCTTGATTGTGTAGCATTCACTCATACTCGTCAAACCACATGATAAAGTTATTACATGCCAACATTATTAACAATGTTGATTAGTTACTAAGTTAAAAAATTAATAAAAAAAATTAACCAAAATATTAAATAAAAAAATTAACACAAAAATTAGTCAGAGAAATCAATAAAAATTTAGTTAAAAAATTAACCCAAAAAAATAGTCAAAGAAATTAGTGAAAAAAATTAAAAAATAAATTAAAAAAATTGACGAAATACCTTAGATAAATGGCGGAGGAAGATAACCCAAAGAATTTCGTGAAATTCTAACTATGGAAAAGGGACTTCACGTTTTGGGCAGACCGAATAACATTAGGAAATAAGACAAGAAATAGGAAATCAGAGATGGATCTCATCAGGCTTCATGTGATGACAAAGCAAACACATGGTGGAACCCTTCAAATGACATGGTGTGTGTCATGTCATTTGGGTTGTTATTGTGGGATTTGTTTGGGCTATATAGCATTGTTCTTTTGGTCTAATAATGCTAAATTGACCAAAATTAGAAACAAAAAAGAGTGACTAAATAACATGGCGGATGACGTGGAGCCTAATCAGCCTTCCACGTCAGCCGCCATGTCACTTGGACACTTTTTTTAGTCCTTAATTTTGGTCAGCGTAGCATTACTTAATTTCAAATAGTATTTGAATCTCAATTTGTACTCTTAAAGATCAAAATTCTAAATTTATACTCTCAAAAATAGAAATTTATATTAATACGCACGTAAAACTAATAGTTGTTTGTTTGTCATCTAAAACTAAATAGATTAAATTACATCTAGATCCCCTCATGCTTGTCACTTATTCATTTGGACCCTCTCACATTTAAAATATTATCCATATATCTCCTAACGTTTGTGCATGTGTAACTCATAACCCCTTATCGTTGATATCTATTAATATAACCATTAAAAAATATGATTTTATCTCAATACAAAATTATAATTTTATACTACACTTTATTTTGTAGGTTCGTTATACTCTAAAGTTCAAGATCAAACTTACCATTTGAATGTCCAATATAATGCAGATATTTATATAATATTTTTTGTATCCAATACAATACATCACTTAAACAAAATTATTTAAATGTACAATTGGGAGAACATTTTTAGTCATATTTGAATTCTCAAGAGATGTAGGTGTAATATTTTAAATGTGAGGGGTTAAGGTGATTAAGTGACAAGCATGAGGGAGTCTAGATGTAATTTATTTATTTAGTTTTGCAAGACAAATTGACGGCTGTTAATTTGAGGTACGCATTGATAGAAATTTCTATGTTTAAGAGTGTAAATTTAAATTTTTGATCTTTGAGGGTGTATATTGAGATTCGAACGATCTTTTATGATACAATTTAAGATTAATCCTATAATATATTATGTTTCTAAAATATGTCTCAATAACATTATTGTTTATCCTAATGGATTTTTAACGGTTCAATAGAGGCCATCCCATGGCCTCATGGATCGTCAGGATGGTGGATTCTGTTTGTCACTGGTTGATAAAGTTCATAATTTTATGCTAAAATGTCTATTTAATTAGGTATAATTGATCAATTTTGCAATAAACATTGATTCGATGGTCAAAATTATTCATCAGTATAAACGTATCAAAGTCAAGTTATAAACGTATAAAATTGAATGATGACAATCTCAAAGCTGTCTGAGGCAGGAGCAAACTCATATTATGCACTGTCGTAGCATCAACTAGTACAAAGAAGAGGCATGATAGCGAAGATCAATCCATCTCAATCTACAAAAAGCATTGTCTTGGGGCATGTAATCCAAAAAGATAGAAAGATCACTCGCCCGATAACTAAGAATCCCATTTCAACTTTTCTATTTCTTATTCCCAAAACAAAACAAAAAAAACTATTCAATTTCTTATCATTAATTATTCATATGACATCTTTTTAGGATGGTCAATGTGTTGCAAGTTTTCACATTAGTTGGGTAGAGGAAACATGGCATAAGCAATCAATAATAAAGTCATAAAAATAAAGTATGAAAATAAAGCATCCTAAGAGACTTTGGATGTGACTGGCATCGGACACAAAAAGCTAAAAAAAGAATTGAAGTGATTGGCTGATTACGATCGAGGAGGATCTGACAGGCTACATACATGGCCGAATTGTTGCAAAAACCAGTGAGGGAGTGACCAGAGTAATGGACACTTCAGCAAAACAAAAAAAAAAGCATTCTCCCTTTGTTTCTTCCCCCGATTGGCGTTGGAATGGATGTTGATGAAATAAACAAGGAACCAAGTAGTTGACAAAAAATGGATCGAAAAACTTTCATTTAGCAGTACAATCATTGAGTAAACGAGACGACAACAACTTATTTGAATCGATTATTAATAGCACTGTGAATTTGAGTTACAGAAATTTAGTAATCGAATGATAAGGTTTTTTTATATCATAAAAGAGGGAAAAAAAAAACAGAGAAAAATGACAAGGGTTGTTTGTCATCTTAGACATCAAGCACAGCCAATGCACTGAAATTCATTGGAGTCGCAAATTCTGGTCCTTCACCATAGAGGAATGTTAGAGCTGCAAATTGGGACGCAGACTGCGTTGGATGGATCCAATCCCAGAAGAGGTGGTCATGGCGATTTGAGCAAACGTTAGCTGTTGGTGTGCATGCCGACTCTCCGTTGAAGGTTCCGTTTCCACAGCAGGCTGTTTTTACCTCCTCGAAACCTAAGAAAATTTCAAAGAATTTGACATGTTAAGGTCTTCTATTTCATTGTTATGAAGTTGTATGTTCTAGGAATCACAAAAATTATTGACTAAATAGGGTTAGACCCGAAAAACAAATGGTTCATTTATTACATCGTTGTTATTATCGTTATAATTATAGATATCGTAATTAGAAGAAAGGATGCCTACGGTTTGCTCTTGGATTGTGGATAATATTCATAGTTATTGCATAAGAATTTCCAAGTGAGTACTTCACTCCATTAAATGCAATACTAAACTCCAGCAAGAGGTTCTCAGTTGCATTATAGAAAGCTCGTGCAAGTTCGTTCATTTCCTCTTGACAACCACCACCGCTGGTGTTATGAGCACGTACAGCCGGAACACACCCAATTGGTGGAACACCAATTACCGCAAATTTTCTAGCTCCAAGGTTGTATAAATCCTGAAATTTAATGACCAAAAAACGAGATCTTTCAAACCATAGTCTTTAATTTTTTGAAACATTAATCAACACAAAAAGATAAACATATTTTTTCCCTAGTAAGATAACATTTGATCTATTCATAAACTTGACCATTGAGGGACAGAAAATAGAGATTTAGACCTTTAGATGGTTACAATAGGCCTCAGTGAGATTGATCAAGAGGGTTTCCGGTGGTACAGTAGGTTTCTCTTGATAATCGAACAGGTCGTTGCTTCCCACGCTTATGATGTACAAGGAATTTGAAATCAGGCGTTGGGCTTTGTCTGGACTCAATACTGCTGTTATATTTGCTTGAACAGTTGTAAATTGTTGAATTTGCAGCCCTAGAGGAATTACTTCTCCCTGTTGGATTTTCAACATAATGCAAACATTTTTTTTAGAAAATTCGTATAGTAAATAAGTTCCATCAAAATAAACTTTTGAAATCGACCAAATGAAATGTTACAAAGCATTAATTGTACAGTCGCTACACTATGTGTGCATATATATAAACACGTCAAAAAAAAAAAAAAAAAAAGATAACTGGCAAGATGCCCCTATTTAAGAGTTTTCAAAAAAACAAATCTTAATTAGTATTTCCGAGTCCGATTCACCAAACCTTACCTCTTTTGAAAGGAGTGGATAAAATAAAAAATCACAGGCACACATGAAACGTTTTTAAGAAGTAGAAAAAATTAAGAGAAGAGAGAGAAAAGTTTACAAATTTTTGCCCAGTTTCATGGAAAATTCCAGAGCCTGCGGATGCAAAGTTCACTCCACGCAGTACAGTGGTGTTGAAGGTTGACATGCGCTTGGTGAGAGAGAGAAAAGGTGGCGGGCTCTTCTGATAATCACCCAATTGCTTCACTACCCAAGGGTAAACAACATTAACTTCAAAGACCAGGGAAGCTTTAGCTTTTGAATTAATGTATATATCATGCAGCAGCTTACAAGGTGAAATACTTTTAACCTAGCACAACCAAGTCCAAGATGTAGACAACATATATAGTAAAACTATTTTTCGATATCATACTATAATTATATAAAACAAAGGTAAATTTACAATTTTTGGTGACATCACAACCAAATGCGGTGATTTGAGACCGATTCTAATATAATGAGAATGTTTGAGATCGATTCTAATTTTTTCGTTATACCTCATTTACCTATAAGTTGTCGTAAAGGTAGTGAACTATACATGAACATATATACACATATACATATATAGAGGCTGTGTGTGTGTCTCTCTCTCTCTCTAGTGGAATTTGTGGATTCCTACCAATCATGTCGGCAGTGTTGTATCCATTGCTGAACCTTCCTGTTGACTGGGAGTAAGGATAATCAATCCCGTAATAAGGATAGTTGGCTTTGGCACTACTGTTGAGGTCGTTGTTAGTCCCAACATCTACAATGGAATCACCGAATACAAAAATGGCTTCCAAGTCTGCCTCAGCTAAGTTCACAGAAACAATGGCCAGAGATAAGAGCAGAACCCATCTACTTGCCATCACAACTCTCTCTCTCTCCCTCTCCGCGTCCGTTTGAGAAGCTTGAGTTTCAACCTGCAATTTATACCATGAAGTGTCAGAAATAACAAGGAGGTAAAGTTAATTAGGTCATTGTCAAAAACCTTAGGAAAAATAAGATTCACTATGCTGAATACCCTTGTAATAATCCACAAGAAATTAGTTCAAAACGAGGATATAATATATGAAATGTGATTTAATGACAATCCAATAATACACATAATTTATCCTCGTAGACCAACCTAGTTGATATGAAATCCTATAAGATGATTCTCATCACGTTAGCTAATCACCGTTCTAAGCCACAACCTTAATGGACCGAATGCATCAATTGTGTAGCCTCCAAATCACGACGACTAACGACTGTAATACCATTAATCTCGCTTAGTTTGGGTTTAATTCGCACAACTTTTATATATTTTATAGAATAAAAATGTAAAGCTCACACTTATATAATAAGATACATTTTTCACCAAGTATGTTGTAGAATTGGATCAAAAATTCCTGATTAAAAAAAAAGAGTATAAATTATAAAAGTTTAGAATGTTGGTGTCCAATAATATATCCAGCTAAAATAATTATAAAACTGATCCCCTTTGGTTAGAACGATGAAGGTCATTTTCATCCTGCTAAGACCAAGAGTCTTTGCTCTCTCCATGGGAACCATAAATTTTGGCAGTATATGCTTCACAAATCTGAAGCTAAGATTCTTCTCTGTTGCTATTGGTATTATGTGGTGAATCAAACTCGTGTTTACATGGACATTTTATATAATCTATGTTTAAGGAAAATTTCATCCGCCTAAATTCAATGACTTCTCTTTTCGATTTTGAAATTTCACTAACACTCTTTGTCGGTTATTGTATGTTTACGCTGTTAACGGTGAGGATTATTTTACAGAAATACCCCTTAGTATTTTGTAGAGTAAATTTCATTCACGCTCCCTATAAATAAGGTTAACTTCAATGACACTCTCTCTTGATTCTAGAATTCATTACACGTCTTTTTGTTATATTATATTAACCTTCAAGTTCATCAATTTAATATTTAATTTTTTTTTAAATTAATATCCTTTCTTTAATTTAAACTAAATTAACATTCAATCTTATCAAATCAACACAAAATTGATTTAATTTAATCAAATTAATATTATTTATTTAATTTAACACCAAATTATTATTTAGTTTCATCAAATCAATACAAAATTGACATTCAATTTTATCAAATTAATATTTAATTATATTAAATTAATATTAAATTTTATCAATTAACACTAAATTAATTTACTTTTATCAAATTAATACTAATTAATATTTAAGTTTATCAAATTAAGACCAAATTTATTCAATTAACAATAAATTTTATCAAATAATATTTAAATTTGATATGCGAAGGGTGATGTGTGAAGAGTGGTCGAGTGACGTTGTGAATGACAGAAGATAATAGAGGAGTTGAAAATGGGTGGGACTTTGACATTGACTTAATTGATTGTAATTTTTATTATAGAGAAAGCATTTATAACTATAAAAATTATAAAAACTCGATTATGCTATCAAATGAGTGATTATGTGGCTAATATATATATATATATATATATATATATATATATATATATATATATATATATATATATATATATATATATATATATAGTAATTTATTAAAATGCTTTAAAATGATAAAAATTCATTGAGATCAATTGAAAATGATTATAATTAACCTTATTTTTTGGTAAAATGTTAAAATTAATTTTTTTTCAATTTTGTTTTATTTTTTGGCATTTTTAAAGAATATATAGTCAATCGTGCACTTTACCTACTGTCAAAGACAAAAGTTATTGTTAGGGGGTGTTCATGATTCGATAGTATAAATCAGAAGGGGGTGTAGTGAAATTTCATAATCAGGGAGAGGTGTCATTAAATTTAGACCTATTTATCGGAGATGTGGATGAAATTTTTTCTTTATTTTATTATTTTTTGTAAATTATAGTTTACTAATGAAACCCTTTTTCTCTCTCTTTTTTTTTTTTTTACCATTTTCTTCCTAGGAAATTATACAATTTAAAAAATCTACTTAATGCATAGAATGAGAAAATTTTACAGAGATACAATAAAAACTATAAGACCTCTGGCTTTTTCTCATTAATTCTTAGAAAAATTCTATCGGTTTCATAGGCTTTTGGAGTATAGGAAGAAAATGTGTCATTGAGTCCAAGCACAAGGTTATTTGCCCTATTATATTTTTAACTTACAATGTGCACTTAGCGCAGCATTTCTTTTTGCAATCAGATAAAGAAAAAGACAGTCCAGTCCAGCAAGGCAAGCGAGACGAGAACACAGCTACTTAAGCTGACCTTGATTGCATCTCCATCACCCACTTACATTGTTTTTTTTTTTGTATTATCCTCGATTAATTTTTTCTTTGATCCGATCAAAAACGGATCATTCATGTCAGAATTAGATAATTCACGAGAAATAAATCTCTCATGATTTAACCTCAAAAAAATTATGAAGTTTCGAACTCAAGATATACGAGTTTATAACACATCCCTATCTATAATAGACTTTCCTTTAAAACAATTTTTTTTATTTTTTAATAACACGTGAGTTACTGAGTTTTGAATCTTAATGGAAATCTCACATTTATGTAATTGTCCACACTAACCATGTGCTTCAAATAGACATCTACGAGAACTCAAATTCACGACATTCTAATTTGTTTTTGTTATCATTATAGATTTGATTACTAAATCAACCCGTATAAGCCAACAAGGAAGGCAAATTGCCCCTATATTTTATCTTTCCATTTTGTCACGGATCACGTGATGGATTTAACAGTTTTCCTTCCGCCGTTAATCCCAAAATGTTCGTCGGCTGCTTCGAAGTGCAAACGATCATTTCTTAGTTTACCAAATAATGTTAAATGACAAATACAGCTTCAATTTAACAAGATCCGTCGATCCAACATAAAATTGACACCAATATTTATTGGAATATGTTTAATCTTAATTATTTCAAATTATATAAGTTTGAACTCGCTAAACTGTTAAAGAAATAAATTGGCACAAACCCGATTACGCCCAACTACAAACAAATTGGGCCACATTGAACAACTTTGGATACCCATTGAGAATCTCACGTAAAAAATGTTTTTGAAGGAGCAACAAATCTGCAAAACGATCCAAATCAACGTTAATTAACTAGAAAAGAGTTTTCAAATCATTAAAAAAAAAAAAAAAGGAAGAAAAAAGTTTAGATTAGATATGCTCGAAATTGTGGCATCATGTAGTGTGTGTGGTATGTTGATGTTGAAGTTTATATGAAGTATTCAGATTTCTCACCTCAAGGACTCGCAGTGAACTAAAGAAACAAAAGAGAATATTTCTTGTTTGTGTACTTCGTTCTGAACTAAGCAGGAAGCTGAGTAAACAAAGAAACATAGAAAACAAAATGAAATTAAACACACACATTAACAGAAATTAAGAGAAAAACTGAAATGCGATATCAATTTGACTTCTAAAAGAAAAAAAAATGTAAAGATATACACTGTTCATTTTCTTTTTACCTGATTTACAGTCTAAAATCATTCGCAACCCCATTGCGATGCTAAAGATGAGGCAGGAGTAAAACGAATTTCTGCACAAAAATCGGGTTAGTATGACAAATTTCTGCACTGGAGTGTGCCATCCAATCCTTGAATCGGCATTTACATACCTTGACCTATTAACCATACACCAAACATCATATCGTACATCTTAAGTATCTCATCCATCCCTGGACATACAAAGGTCCATGAAAACCAAGGCTATAACTCACAAAAATAAGTAGTTTGAACCCTAAATCGTAGCACAATGGTTTCAGGTTGTGCACATCCAAGTGAAGATCATCCCAGCCAATATGTTTTTAGCTTGTAGATGATACGACCAATTGTGCAATTTTAAGTTGACCATTCTTCTTTGTCCTCACAAGAAACTGATGTGACAGAAGATGGTGAATTGGTGATAAGTCTAGCCAGAGTACACTAAGTAGATGATTTTGCCAAGTCCAACCTTCATTCGTATGGATCATCGTCATCAATGGTTGAAACTCTATGCTGTTGAATGATTAATACTGAACCACTAATATCAAAATCTGAAGAAGCCATAAAATCCCCTACTGTACCAAGCTCCGGACACTCTTCCCAGTCACTCATTCCAGTTGTTAGAGGTGAGTGCTTTCGCCCACCCTTCCCTGTGATGAACAATGAATACATGTCTGCCATGTCCCTTAAAGCCGATGCAGTCTCTGCCCCGTTTTCCACACACTTCTCTACATATCCCACTTGACCTGATGTCACATACCTGTACTATTAACAAATTAGTCTAGGAAAACTTCCACCGATAGTTATGCAGAATGCAATTAATAGGATTAGTTGATTCAATCCTTAAGAGTTCAACAGAAACTTTCATAACAAAAAGACCTTTAAAGTGTTGTTACGGAGAACTTTTATGATGTTTAGTCATACCTGTTATAAAAGTCCGTTAAGACGATATTGTCTGCCTCATTCTCCATATCACGATCTGATATAGCCATCAAAACATCATCCTCTTTATGTGCAACATTGACCCCCACACTGTGGCCTCTTGTTGATCCTTGAAGAAACCTAATAATCGTGAGGTTTATATGATGATGTGTGCCAAGACGTTTACTAAACCCCAAAGCCTCACGGTCATCAGGTCCACCAAAAAATAAGGTAGCAACATGTTGTAAAGATTCGGAGCCAGAAGCACGTGAGTTGCCAGCTGTGAGCCCCCTATCTACAAGTATTGCAACTGAGCACTGGGCATGGCGGAGGACTTTCTGATTAGTGGTCCTTATACCCTCCTTTCCATTCTCTAATTTTCCGTCAATTCGCTGGTGCTTGTGGAAAGGGAGGAATATAATAGATGCACGTACGTCCTCAGCACAGTCACACACATCCTCATGCATGCTAGCAAAGGGTGACACAACTTTAAGCTGATGAATCACCATTCCTGTCTCTGCAGAGAAGATGTCCACAGCATCATTGATCTCCAGCACATCATTACCACCATAGTCTTCCTCATCACTAAGCTCCTCATCTTCTCGCTGGTGATACATCAAATTGGTGTTGGTTTTTTCAGGGAGCTCAATCAGGTGCATCAAGTAGGGGGTGATGGCAACATTTGCAGACCCTTTTGACGCAGCAATGAGCCCTACCATGGTTGCTACTGGATGAGGACCATGCACACAGGCTAGCATTCGCAGTTCACTCTCTGGATTTTTTGCTTCAAAGGCTATATGCTTGTAACTGAGGGTATCATGTTCTCTTTTCACCATGAAAGCTATCAGCGGTCCTGAGATCACCGAATTAATCACTATTATCGATGTCATCAAACTGTAGAATATCTGACTCAACACAACCTACACATAAGAGGCATATCCAATTCAATCAGCCTTCCCTTGACTTGACAGAATTTAAAGAAAAACATAACAAAGTATTAATCTAGTCCGGCAACAAGTGAGCGTAAGAGTCTGATATTGATTTTGGCAACGACATATAAATCCATAACTGTAAAAAAACACAATTCCAAAATACCAAACACGAGGTGAGCCCTACTTTGTAGGTTCTCAACATTGGATGTTCTTTATTCACTATTAGACCAGTTAGAACTTCAATTGATGGTACATGGACTTTTTCATGAAATCTCTTGTTTACTATTCAAGTCATTTCCGTCAGTCAGGAGAATTTTACTAGTCATCATCAAACTAAAAATTAAATGCTCAATTTGTGCAAATTAACATTCAAAGCATGCTTTTGATAGTTACATGGATCATTTTGGAATTTTTTTTGATAGTATAATTATAACCATCTGGAGATACGAAGTACTTACTTTGTTCTGCAGTCCCACTGTTAAAGTCACAAGATCAACATGGCCTTTCAAGTTCATTAAGAAAGCAAGGAGAACACCCTCATGCAGTGGAATCTTTAAGTAATGGCAAGCAGCAACGGTGCCGGTAATCTTGCCACCGATGCTCAACAAAATAACAATGACAACCAGGAGAAAGTTGCGCCAAGTGTTTATGACTGTTACATCTGCTCTGAACCCTGCGAAGCCGAAGTAAATTGGGAGTACAAAGTTGTGAACTGAATATGTCAGTTTGATCAATAATGTCCGAGCTGTTTTGCCTCCCCTCGGAAACATTGAGCCAATGAGTAAGCAAGCGATAATGCTGCTAAATCCCATTGACTCAATAGCAAGTGCTGTAACAATGACGATACCCAGAATGAGAGAGAACTCGAAATTTTTAAGGTACTTTTGGTTCCTGTTCCTCCGGTTTAACCAGTTAGCTACGTACATGTTGAGGACGATAACTGCTACAACAATGATGAAATAGACGAAGCACAACAATATCCATATCATGAATGTATATTTGTATTTGTTTCTGGAAAAAAAAATCAACACTGATACAGCATACATGTCACTTATCAACGAAGAGGATATGGCCATCCGGCCAAAATCTGAGGTTGCAAACTTTAAGTCAGCCGCCAGACAAATCACAATGGGAGAGGCTGTGTTTGCTAAGATAACTATAAGCATTAAGGCTGTCATGAACATGGAGCCATGTACTGCAGTCTCTTGATATATAAAAGGGGTTATGGCTGCTGCAAAGATGGTACACATTATGCTGCTACCACATGCAATAATGCTTGCTGGACGTGAGTTGCGCATCAGATAAGGAACATCCATCTCAAGACCGATCAGAAACATAATTACAAATCTAGCATACAAAGCCATAGTTTCATAGTAATCTGCTGTAAAAGTCTGAAAGAAGAATTTCTTTACTCCTCCTATTTGTGACAGCCCTGAGCGACCTAGCACGACCCCTGCCTGTAATTCGAAGTGCCCAAAAAAAAAAAAGTGACAGCGTAAGACGAGATATTCTGGTGTCAAACAACCATCTCTCACTAATTAAGGTGTAATTAAAGTTATGCCACATAAAATTTAAGCTTCATGGTGTACAAAATGTGGACACAGAGAGAGAGAGAGAGAGAAATGGCAGAATTTTTGCAAACCATCTCTGAGATCACAGAGCTCTAGCTAACAAAATTGTGCACACCACACAAGAGAGGATTCTATCTTAGGTTCAAAAAATTCGCATTGCAATCAGGCTTTTTTGCAAGCTATGCAACCTCCTGCTTGCTTAAGTTAATGTTAATCATTTTCTGAGAAGACTTCAGAAGCTTATTCTGCAATGTCAAATAATTCCAGCAGTCGTGTTACTGATCTGTTTCGGATGCATACTCATTAGCTTGTTCTTTGCTTAAATCAGATAAGGGTACTCATCAGATAAGCAAGTCTTTCAGATTTTCTTGCTCAGTGTAAGCTGGTATAGCAGGCATCTTGCCCTCTTTTGTATATCAGACTCTTTGACTCTCAATGAAACATTTATATAGGATAAAAAAAAGTGTTCAGATAAAGTCAAAGCACGAAAACATGCTTCCAATCATTCCGAAACACCAATCATTCTATGACAAGAGTAATGCTACTTGGATTTGCTAATCTAACCCACTTGCAATGGATTACTGCTGGGTCCCAACGCAAACCACTACCAATCCAATGAAAATAACAAATTAGGCAAGAAAACTAGGTTCGAGAAATGTTTTTGTTTTGACGAACACATATATCTAATATTACAACTAGCAAGTTGAATCCTCAACTTATAAAAGAACAACAATTGTTAAGATTAATACGATTTCCATCTACTTTGATCCAATGGAACAAATTTCATTCTAAATTTTTTTTTCTGCTCGAAAATATCATTTTCTCTTCCAATATCAGACAACTCAACAAACACGTTCTCCAATGTGCCTACTAATTCACACCTATCTCCTAGTTCACTTTAATTTTAAATTGCATAACTAAAATAAATAAATTTAATGACCATTGTTCAATTTTTGATATTGGAGAGTGTCTTTAGGCACCGGATTATTGTTAGTACAAAACAACATATACATATATATGCCAAGAAGTTCGGTGAATAATGTTTCTAATTTCTTCTTCGGATAAGACGTTATAATAACAACATTTAGCCTCACCATTATACCTGATCTACAGCATCACCATTATACGCCAAATTAGGAAAAACATAAGAATCCATGTTGAATTTCTGAGCATAAATTCGTCTGTGCAAATGATAAATACATGCATGTGAGCAAACACAGACACATAATTTCATGTGTTCAGATGACATACTTACGAGAATGTGAGCGAGGGGTCCAGGTAGGCCCAAGGGCTTGAATACAAGTTGAAAGAAGTGTGAGATCACGAGAATGCAAGAAATCTGCGCACCAGTCGTGAGAACTGGATTGAACAATTCATCGTTGCAGGCCACACGCCTCGTCTCATTCATTTCAGGCAATCTAATTCGAAGGACGAAGAAGAAGAATACAATTCAAGTAACATGAGATTCTGATTATAAGTTTTTTTTTTTTTAGTATATAGTCAAGGAATTATGGTGAATGAGTAATGATGAGAGATGAAGGTTGAGAAAGCTGGGAATGATGATGAACTCTTCTTTCCTCTTTTGCCTGATCGTCTTTCTCTGTTTTTCTGTGTGATGGATAGGAGCGAAGAGGAGGGAGGGAGGTGGTGGTGGTTGCAAGTTTGGCTTAGCTTCACATTCCTTGTTTAGAGGTGCATACGGTCGGGCGTGCTTAACGGATGATATATAGACAGGTAAATGTGTATTTATACCACCCCTTGTATTTGGTTATATTACATTAGACACCCCATATGAAAATTAAATAACCATTCCCGTATAATAAACACTGTTTTAATGATAGGCTACTAAAAATAAAAACCTCTCTTTATAGGGATGAAATTCAACATTAAATCTAGTGCATACCCACATTTGGTATGCACATGAATATATCACTATTATAATTATATATTTGTATATATATAATTATTGTACCCCTACATGGGTTTGATGAAACTCATTATTTAAAGTTTAAGACCAGGGCCAATAACGGGCCGAGTTTAGTAACTCAAACTTCAAATTTTTGGTTAAACATGAGTTTTGTACGTTATTTGAACTATTTTTTCCCAACTCATCTTCCAAAACCTCCCAATCCCACTTACCAAACAACTCCAAATTGTCATCCCATCATCACACCATCCCACCCCCTACATTTATCTGCACCGTCCCACCCTCCACCCCCCATCATCACCGTTGCCACCACCACTAGGCATAGCATATAGTTATTAAAACCGGACTACTCTTCAACCCAATAGAGGGATGGGTTAATGTATCACTTTTTCAACAATTAGGTTAATTGATCGGATAATAAAAAAATAAAAAAATGTATGTTAAGAAATTATAATTATTATAGAGATAATTTGTTTAGTATAATAGTAGATCAAATAAAAGTATAAAAAGAATCATAATTTATTAATATTTTAGATAATTTATAAAATTTAAAAGAGCATTAAAAAATTACACCAACAAGTATTAAATAGCAAATTCTAAGAAATAAACCTCAAAGTATATAAATATAGAAAAAAAAATTCAAAAGGAGAAGGCATAAAAAGCACATGAGAAGTCATACGAAGACCCAACTGACTAAAAGAAAAAAAATACGAAGATCCAAAAACAAAGACAAATCCATGGTTCTATCCCACGTCGAAATCTCATGAGAAAACAAAATAATATATAGCTTCAACGATCAAATTTTGTTTTTATGTATTGTTTCAGTCATCTAAAAAATGAAAACGTTTTAACGTGTTTCGAAAATGTTTCAACTCTTTTCAGAAATATAATAAAAAAACATAAAATTTAATAATTATTTTTTTTAAATTGATCGAAATATATCAAAATATCTTGAAACATCACGAAACAATTATGTAAATATATTAAAATATTACAAAGCATCTCAAAATATTGTGAAATACCTTAAATTTTTAGAATTTCGATTATATATATATAAATATATATTTTTTAATTTCGATTATATTACTGATTCATTTTGAACTCTTTGAAAACAAAAATATTTTAAACGTTTCGAAACAAAATTTTGATGCTTCTGTAACCTATAAAAAAGTGTGCTTTGCCCACCTAGACTTGAGTCTGCGTGAAGGTCTTGAAAATAGGAATTACAACTTTTACAGCTTATTGTAGAGGCCTTAAATATCGGCAGCCACTGGCTGAAGATCAGTTAAAATTTGAATTAATCCGATTCAAAAAATCATCCGAAAAAATAATTATTGACATTTTAATTTCATCAGAAGTATTTCAATTAAATTTTATTTTATTCTAGTAAAAAGTTTATGAATGAATCTAATTTTGCTCTAATGGTTCAGACTCGATTCGCTTCTTCACTGCGAAGGCTAAGCACAACCATTATTATAAGAGCAATTCAACTCAAACCTAGTTTAAAGACTTGGTCCATTACAATAATATTAATTTGTTGATTTAATGAATCACAATCATTAGATCGACAGTGAAAGACTTATTTTTGATCCAATGGTTATGAGTGCTTATATCAACAAATTAGATTCAAAAAACATTGCTAATCTATTATTATCATTAAATTTATTAATGAATAACAATGCTAGGAAAAATCACTGATAAGCCTTCTTTTTTCTCCAAAATATTAATGAAGTTTAGGATTTCTCGGGAATAAATTATCAAAAGTAAGACTTAATTGTCCTAAGTAAACATGATAAGACTTGATGGTTATTTTAGAGAAAAAAGTATAAGTGGTTCTTCTTACTTTATTAGCAATTCAATAATAACATGAGTAAACTACACAAATGGGTCTTAAACTATGACCTTGTGTTAATTGAATCTTCGAATTAATTTTTGTGTCAATTTAGCCCTTAAAGTCTAAAATTTTAACAATTAAGCCTTTTTGTCAACAGTTATTAAGTTTTTGGATGAAATGTCTCACGTCCTCACCACATGGACAACAAATTAAAAGTATTTTTGACTGTTCGTCCGAAATTTATCAGACGAAGAACTCTATTCCTTACACCTATCAATCGAAACCCTAAACAAATTACATAAAATTAGACTCTTCAAAGAGCTTGTTGGTCTGCTTTGTTTGATGGGTATGAAAGAGGTTTAGGTAACATAAATGTAGTCTCTTTGAAGAGCTTATTAATTTGCTTCGTTTGATAGGTATGATAGAGATTTAGGTTTAGGATTTCGATTGGTGGGTATAAGGAATGAGATTCTTCGTCTAGGTTTTGTACAAATAGTCTAAAATATCTCTAATCCAGGGCCCGCCCAAGCCCTAAGCAGCTAAGGTGTTTACATAGGGCTCCAAATTTTAGAGGGCACCCATAAATATTTATAATCATTTAATATAATAAGTCTAATTACATATATATACTAATCATTACCCGTGTCTGAAAGTACTATGTAAAAAAAAAATCGCAAACAATTGTCCAGCTTCAAAAAGAATGACACAAAAACATTCATACCAATTCTTTCAAAATAATCCAAAATATACTGTCAATTGTGTTCTCCATATTAATAGAATTATTACAAAAATGTACAGAAAAACTCTCTAAAACAACATCACATATACAAATACCTCAAAACAAATATTGATTGAACCTAATAAAATAATTTGTATAAGCGCATTAGCATAAACACATAAAATTAGTCAAATCCACTATTAGCATAAACACACATAACATTGTGTGTGTGTGTGTGTGTTACAAATAATTGAAGGATTTATGATATTTACATAACAAAGATACACCACGAACAGGTCCAACATGTATTGTCGAACCAAATCAATGAGAATCCCAGATCTAGATCACACCATTATGAAGACTTGCAAGGATCAAAGACAATCATTGTGACATTTCATCAAACATGTGTTGTGCTAACAATTATATTAAACTAAAGCAATTGGATATAATGATCTAGCCCCTTCACTTGGTTACTCTTTGATCAAAATTTAACCTTGGAAAACAAAAATCGAAAACAAATAGAATTAAGAAACCAAAATTGCAAAAAAAAATAGAGCTAGAAGTTAAAAATTCGAAGAACTTACATAACCACTGAACCTCTCTATCTTACACTCTCCCTGTCTTTTCGTGTGTGCAAATCTAAAGGCATTGGATATACAACCAAAAACCTCAAATAAAACTTGATAAAAATCAATTTCAAGTTTCAACCAATCACTAAAAATCGGATAGAAATTAATGTCAAAATTTGTATATTTACGATTGTCTATGAGTGTCAGCGTGCTGCAAATATGTGTTTGTGTCAATTTTGTGTAAGGGTGGTGGTGAGGTGCTGTGTCAATTGTTGGTAGATTAGGGTTATGAGCGGTTTGGGGCTATGGGAAAGAATAAGAGGGGGGGAAAGGGGTTGTGGCTATGACCGAGGGTAGAGGCAAGTGTGAGATAGAGAAGCTAGGAGCTGAACAGATAGTGAGCGAGAAAGAATCACTTGGGGGTGTCACATGCATGGCAGTTGTTGGTGGTCATCGGCGACAGTGATGATCGCTAACTTCGTTGTCGTGGTTGTCGCTAATGGTGGTCGATGGTTTTGTGGCCGTTGATGGGGCTTCTGATTTGCAGGGGGGCTGGGTTGGGCTATGCGACATAGGCGCTATGATGAGGGAGGGAGACGTTGGGAGACATGAGAGATATAAGGGGAGATGTGGTGCTGCGATTGTTTTGGTTTTTTTTTTGTTGATCATACAGAAAAAGGGAAGGATAGGGAGTCTTACGTTGGGTTTTTCGGGGGGGGGGGGGTTTCTGGGTTGGGTAGACAAAAATAGAGAAATAAAGAGGCATAAGTGAGATTGAGGAAGATTTGAGAGATTTTAGAAGAGAGAGGTGTGAGTCAGAGAATGAGGAAGAGAGATTTGGAAAAAGTTAAAAGCACTGATAATTAAAAAAGGAAATGTTGTTAGGCGGGAAAACAAAATTCAGTACTCACTGTAAACCGTTAGATCAATATTTATGTGATGATTTGAACTGTCTTTTATGTTGGGATTACGTTATCTGTTAGATGTGTTTATGTTTTGTCTCAAAACGATCTGGACCTCACTTTGTCTCCAAAATTCAAACTCAACTCTGCTTTACTCTCTCTCTCTCTCTCTCTCTCTCTCTTATATATATTAGATATGATCTAAATTTTGAAGGCCCAAATTAATATTTAATTTTGTTAGGGCTAAAATTACTCTCTACTTGGTTAAACTCAAAATTTGAAGGGCCTCTATTGAATAATAGGCCTATAGATATATATTATATTTTAGATATATTTCAAATTTTTAGGACCCAAATTTTAATAGTTCAATTCAATACCTAATTTTGGTAGGTCTAAAATTACTCACTATTTGTGAATTTTTATTTAAGTTTTTCTAACTCTTTTGGGTGTGTGTTATAATTGTATTCCTCTTTCTCACATAAAAAATTTATATATATTATTTATTATGGAGAAAAATTATAAAATTAGTTGTTTAAATTGTTTGTGTTATCAAAGTTTTGTACTCCCATGTGTGCACATAACTCGTGGGTAAAAAATGATTATTTGTTGTATTAAAATTATTATTTGCTCACATATTTTGTCATTAAATTGCTCGTTTAAAATTTAAATTGATAAAAATTTATTTGCCCTCAATTAAGTTTAAATGAATTTTCTATACTATCTATTGAGAAAAAATTATTATCAAAACTTGAATATAAAAATTTGATCAATATTTTGTATTTCAAAAAATAAAAAATAAATTTATAATAATTAAAATATTATATATTAATAAACAAAATATTAATAGGCCCATATAAAATTTTCGCCTAAGAAGGGCCCACTTTACCTTGGGTTGCCCTTGCCCTAATTTGTTATTCATGTGGTGAGCACGTGAGACATTTCATCTAAAAATATAATGACTATTGACATAAGGGCTTAGTTGCTAAAATTTTAGACTTTAGGGGTTCAATTGACACGAAAATTAGTTCAGATATTTAATTTACACAAGGGTCATAGTTTGAGGCCCATTTATATAGTTCACTCATGTTATTATTGAACTAGTCATTACTCGCACCTGAAAACATTCTTAACACAAAAAATTCGTCAAGGAAACGGAGATCAAAGAAATTCTTAAATAAAAAAAATTCAAGGGTTGAAATGAAGAAGAATCATATCACATTAATACAATTCAAGAATCCCCAATAACTTAAACTAACACTATTACAAAATTATCATGTCATAAATTTTTTCATGGAGGCTCTTTTTTTCACGAGATAAGTGTTCATTTTTTCAACATCTGGCTAAATCTAATGAATAGACTGTCTAATTTTAATAAGGAATCTCATTAAGAACACAAAATTAAATCACTGAATCTAATCAAACGAATTAACCACATTGAATTACAAATCAAATTTCCAAAAAATAAAAAAAAAAGTCCAACCAAACTAACATTGTCCAACAGATCTGCTTGTAGTTGTGAGGACAATTGATTTAAATTCTTTACTGTTGTGACTTCTCGGATTCTATAAAAATATTCTCACGCTGCAATTAAACCAAATTAACAAAATTAAAATTTCACCACTTCAAAAAAAAATTGATTTTAACTGATCTTTTGTCATTTCAGTATTTATTTTGTACTATTCAAATATTCAAAAAATATATGAACATTAACAAGAGAAAAAATGATGCAATTAAGGCCAAAAATGTTATGGTTTGTTTTGATTTTTTTTTTTGTGCAATTGGTTTCACTTATTTTTTTTATTGGTAATTATCTTGACTTTGAATTTTTATTTTTTTGGTATAATTGATATCACTTATTATTTTTTTATTAGTGATTAGCTTGGCTCTGATTTTTTTTTTTGATGCAATTGGTATAAATTTTTTTTTTATTGGTGATTAGCTTAGTTTTGATTTTTTTTTTTGTTTTTTAGTGCAATTGGTGTCACTTATTTTTTTAATTGATGATAAACTTGACTTTGAATATTTTTGAGTAAAAAAGTCCAATTAAAATGGTCAAGACAAACAATGTTAAGAGAGATAAAAAGAGAATATGAGAAATGAGATAGTGTGTGTCTAAAAGAAATATGAAATAGAGAGAAAAAATTATATGAGAAATAGGAGAGTGTGTATCTAAAAGAAATATGAAATAGATAGAGGATTATATGAGAGATAAAAGAGTGTGTTTAAAATATCTGACAGAGAGTTATATACGTACGAGAGTTGGGTGTATGAGATAAAGAAGAAGAGAGTTATATGAGAGATGAGAGTTTTAGAGTTATAAAATGAATGAAAGTCTAATATTAATCGTTGTATCAAAAAGTTAAGAAATGATTTGAGTCGGAAAAAGCTTAAAACAAAGAAATCTAACTAATTTATTATATAGATTGCTAATAAATTAGGAAGAATTACCAATAAGTCATACTTTTCCTCCAAAATAACTATTAAGTCCTATCATGTTTACTTAGGACAATTAATTATTACTTTTTATAATTTATTCTGAAGATTTATCGGTAATTTTGCGTAGCATTGTTATTCATTAATTTTTTTTGGATCAAAATTATTCATTAATTGACACAAAACAGATTTAATTAATACGAGTCGTAGTTTAAAGGATATTTATGTAATTTTGTCTAATAACATTATTAACATGACAGTAAGTTTCAAAATCATCTTCCCATGGTATATTAATTTGTGATTCGGATTGTGCGTGGCCCCGGTCAAACCTTTGGGGGGTGGGTGGTTGTATTTAATGTCGATTACTCTATCTCTTTCTCTAGACTTTTGTTGCCTCTTCTTCAAAATTTTCATCGCATTTTGATGACCAGAACACAGCGCCTTTAAAACAAACAGTTGGTGGGTAATGAGACGCAACTGGTGTTACTGTTAGGTTTTGAGGGAAAATCGTTGAATGAATGCTGGCAAATGGGTCTATGCGGTGGCCCTTGCAGCGAACGGTGCTTTCACTTCTTCCCATGTCTCTCCGATCCAGGTACGTATATGCCTAATTGTGTGAAATATTGTGTTGTATAATTCGTTTGATTTGATTTTCCATACATACAATTTTGTATTTTTTTTAGCTCGGAGATCGACGTTGTGTTTGAAAGCGGCGTTGGTGATGCTGCATCTAGTCTTTGTGGGCCTCCTTTTCCTTTTCGATAGAGATTTGATCGAGAAAACCCGAGAAAAACCATGGTAATACGTGTTTTGAGTTGTTTGAAGTTGGAAGGCATAAGAATTAGGGTATTACTGTACAAGTTTGGACTTTAACTAAACTGAACTCAAGGCACGATTGTGTCCACATTGTGAAAATTGAAGAGCTTATCTGCTTCCTATAGGGTAGTCAGACTCTGTGGAACTCAAGATTTTAATGGAGGGTGGTATTTTTGTATGTGGAAAAGCCATAGTGAATGAACCAAGTTAAAATACTGGCACCCAGTTTTGATTTTCATGTCCATGGACAATTGGCACACTGAACAATGTTATTTGACACAACTTTGTCTGGCATGTCAATGAAGTTGTAAGGTTGAAATTTTGCACAACCCTTAGAACATGGATCTCACACACTTGCATGATTATCAGAAATTTGGGGAGAGAATTTCCTTGGGTTATTTGGCATCTTAGTTGTATCAACAACTTCCTTGGTTGATGTTTGGTGCAAAAGATGTTTTATAATTTTAAAACTTGCTATTTTTTTTGCTCTAAGTTCTCTTTTCTCTTACAGGTACACAGCACTATACTTGTCATTAGTTGTTGCTACATTGGGTCAATATTTCCTAACCTCTGGTTCTTCTCCGGGGTAATTGTAATCCACAATTTCTCTCTTGCCAAAGGCGTTAGTCCAAAAATTGTGTGTGGAGTGCAAAGTTCTGTTTAGTATTTGTTTCTTGATTTTTTTTTTTTTGGTTTCAGCTATGTTCTTGATGCAATGAGGGCTGTAAATGAGAGAGATGCCTTAATCAGAAGGACGCCAGTTTCCTCAAAGTAAGCACTAATTTCCCTCTTCATTCAGTCGTTCACTACAAAGATTTAAAAATAAGGAAAAAGAAACTAAGCAATTTCATATGCTTTTTTGTTAAGAAAATACGTGGAGATTGTAGGAGCTTGCTGCTTGAATATAGATTTAATTAATTAACATAATTTTCTGCCTATATTGATGTTATAACGATCAAGCAAAGACATTCTGCTCCAAGCAAAAGTGGCAGCGTAGTTATTACTGTGGATGCTCACCCATTGAGAAGAAATCTTTTACAGAGTAATACAACATCTTGGACAAAGCTTGTGCTGGACATGTATCCTCCTGGATCATCTGCTAGGTATGGAAAATTGCATTTGGTTGTCTGATGATAGTTCGTTCTTATCATAGCAGTTATTTCTTATATGCACATTGCCACATAACTGTCATTTGTTAGCATTTTGTTACGCCCCCATAAAGACTGATGTGTGTAATAATCAATCATCTTGCTCCTTGTTCATCAAGTTTAATTCTTTTAAATGTAAAATGTTTGGCAACTTTGCAGCATATATCTGTATCATTTATATAAGTTGATGGTTGTAAGTTGCAAATAAATAAGCAAACACTTTATTGCCACTTGTTGTCTGGGCTATAGACCTTTGTTAGTTGTATCATAAACACAGTCAACCCTGTAATGCCTAATAAATAAAAGCACGGTCGAAATATGACTTTTGGTCGTGCTCTTGACTCGTGAAGATTCTTGAAAGCAGGCTTTGGTTCAGTTTGTTTGAAGATTGAAGACTAGTGGGAGAGCAAATGGGAAGGAAAAAGGTTTGGCAACCACAAAGGGAAAAGCTATCATCTTAATTGGGAGTGGAACGTGAATGGATAACTGTGTTTTTTATGTTTCGTAGGTGACAAAGCAATAATTTTAATGGTGAAATTAAAAAAGTTGGCTTTGTAGTGCTTAATTTTCCTCTAATCAGAAGACACAAATTGAAAAACATGGTTCACTCCTTTTCATTAACTATTTAAGAGTCAAACATTGGTTATTCTTCTAGAGTTTCTAACAAAAGCTTTTTAAGAATACAGGTCAAGAAAAACCTTAAAGAGACATATATTTATTGAAAAAGAGATCAATTAAGAATGAGTTGAATTTTTTTTTAGGTAGATAAATGAGGCAATTTTTCAGCAAATCTATGATCTTTGTTTCTAAAACTGATTGGTGGGCCGGGTCCCATATATATTTATTGCTTTCTTTTTTCTTCTTTTTCAATTATATGTATTTAGCTGTTAATTTCATCCAAGAGGCAATATTTGTAGAAGTGGTAAGGCTTCCACATGGACGGCCCTTTATTGTCTGGCTTGGGTAGCAAAGAAATTAGCCTCTTTAAGTTAAAGGGAGAAATATTCAAACAGCATTTGAAGTCTTGAAAGATAGGTGTAGTTCCTATAATAAGTGGGCTTTGCTTGGAGGAACTCAGTTTGGTTTAGTTAAGTTGCACTTGGTAAGTGGCTATGGAGATATTTTTTCGATAGGGAAGGTTGTGGAGGGTGGTGCTTCTTGGTGGTTGGTGGAATGCTGTATCTATAACTGCAGGGTAAAATTTAACACCAATTCACCTAACTTGATGTTAGTTCCATAACAATGTATGTTTTTCACCATTAATCCAGTTGTGCAATTTAGAAAATATGCTACAAATTGGAGATTCTTTAACTGACTCTCTCTCTGTTTTTCAGAACTTGGACTTGCTCTTACTGTCATGTTGTGCAGGTAGTATTTCCTTATCATTTTATTCATTTTTACAAAGTACTCAAATCTGTGATTGATCACTGAAGTCAGGAAAGAGTAAAAAAGTTTGTGCAAGAGTTGAAACAACTTTGCTTTTTGTTGCATCCTTGGTTTTATTTTGTTTTTCCCGTGAAATCATAAAGAGCACCATAATGTATGCTGGTTCATTTGCATGTCTATCACAAAGTACGCAAGCCCTTATTAAAGGAGAAAATGAGTGGGTTTCAATGAACGAGAGATGCATTAACAATTTTTTTTTTTTGATAAGAAACATAACTTTAGTTGGTACAATCAAAATTTTTACATAAGGCTAAGTTGGACGAGATTCAAGCTCAATGAAACAAATTACAAGGCGGTGAAAGAAAACCAAACATGACATGATTTTCAAAGACCCCTTGTGTGGATACCAGTTAGATGGATATAGAGTTCTCTTTAGGCTTGCATGTGTGTGCTCATACCCACAGGGAGCAAACGGTTATTTCAAATGCAGTGTAATTTGCTATTAGCCTATTACTTGTGCATAGGTTCAACAGTATGAAAAGTAATTGAATAGATGGATTAGTTAATAACTAAATAAAGAAGACAGGTGTTTGGTCATAGGCTTACAGTTGCTTTTAAGGTTGTCACAATAATTGTTTGGTCACGTTTGGTATTATGTCTGATTATTGTTTATTTGACCTGCAATATATGTGCAGCCGCCAAGGGCAAAACATTGTCATGATTGTGACAAATGCGTTCTTCAGTTTGATCATCACTGTGTTTGGCTTGGAACATGCGTAGGGCAAGGCAACCACTGTCGATTTTGGTGGGTATACTTTGTTGATAGTAGAGAAACAATATCATTGATCAATTATCTTTTGCTTATTCTTTTTTAAAGGGGTTCTTATGATAAGGTTTGAGGTTCTGTATCAGTAATATACTTATCTCATCTCATGTTTATTAGACCTTAGAGCTGATGAGTGATATTTTCTCCTCTGTTCATGGGTTTCTTTGTTTGTTTCTAAATCTCAGTTTGAATACCTTAGCTTATGGATAGAATAATGCATGAATTCTACCGCTGACAAACCTGACATGAAAAGCAAAATGATTCCATGATGTCTAAAGTGTATTCAATTTGAAAGTTGGTGTCACTCTCCTAACCTTTTCTATGCTTGCTGGTGAAAGTGGAGTTCCAATTTCTGTGACTACAATTGTCACATTTTGATTTTCCTCTTTCCTAATTTTGTTGAATTTTGCATTAGCCATTTAGTCCTTCATGCGCGTGTGCCTATGCAATCCTTTTTGTGGTCATAAAGTAGTACCATAAATTATTTTCTGGGTTTCATGGATGTAGTGGAATTGTTTACATACTAAAGGTGGAAACAAACCCAGTGTTTTTCTTTTTAGTAAATTATATCCCAAAGCTAGTTCACTTTTCATTTAGCAGTTTTTTAAAATCGTCGAGATATTTTTTTGTAGTCTACGTATTTGAGAGTTGTGTGATTTATTCCTTTACAGAAGAGGTTCTATATATTTTAATTTCTTTGTATGCAAGATTGGTATTATGATCTCTTATGAGATTACTAGTTATTGTCCGTGCTTGAAGACACTGTATACCATAAAAAATGTCAATTAGATTCAATGATATTCCCCTAAAATCCCACACTAATCTTTGGAATGAAATATCCAAGCCATTTGGTTGACATCAATTCTCCTTAAAAACCCAGATTCTTGCACCATTTAAGGAGATCAACCAAAATATTCCATCTAACTAGTAGCTTGCTCCCATCGCATCTTTGCTGCCAGAATTGTTTCAACATAGGTGAATGCTTTGAAATTTTCACTTCCTAAATGGAGACCCAGTTTCTAACGGAAACTATTGATGCAATCTTGGAAGATTGAGGAAATAAAATGCCTAGAGATTTGCTTCTCAAGACAGTCAAAATCCATTCCCCCCCAAAAAAATAAAATAAAATAAAATAAAACATATAGAAAACAAAAAACAATAGGGGTTGGGGGACACATTCATCCTACATACCCAAAAGTCCAAAATCAGCATGCATCAAAATGGTCCAAGACATATACACACAATCCGTCCGTGGTGGTGATGAACTGTATAGAACATCAATTGGCGCATGACCACTCGATTACATCAATAACCACTCAATTACATAAAGAGAGACAACATACATAACCACCATCTATCATAGTTCTAGCAAATTAAAAACTTCAAGCAAACACTTTCCAAAATAATTGTCCGTGTGCCTGCACGGAGTAACAAAAAAATCAATATATTGTGCCTTCGACAAATATAGACCGTGTACATTTTTTTTTTAATTGCAACCTTTAAGTAATAAATAAAATTAAATAAATCTTGCTAATTTATAAAAGTCATGAATTCATCACCACTACCCCGTCAGTCAACCCAAAAACATATCATAAATCAACAAATTTTCAATCCACCACATATAACAACAAACAATGCTGATATAAGAACTTTGCATTCACCATCATGAGAGGTCTCGACTACACATGTAGAAGAATGAAAAGCAATAGTCAAAAACCAAAACAAAAATGGCTAATTCAATAGCACTCCTGACTGTTTTTGAGAGATAACAAAGCATGGAACACAATTGCGAACGATCATCTAACCCAAATAACATGGTAGCTTAAATTTAATCTTTAGCATTATCATCACCTAAGCAGTCCCTTAGCACAAAAGTGCCCAAAACACGAAAAACAACAAAACCTCTATATTAATTTGCCTAATATTTACAGTTATATGTGTACTCAACTGAACAAAGGACTTATCCCAATTGTTTCGGGGTCGGATACATGTATCCTGTTTTGCCATTGTGTACTATTAAGGGTTAGGTGATCATATAATTGTTTTCTATTCTACCAAACACATTAATGTTAGAAAATAATCACATCACTCTTTCTCATTGATACAACGATAGACCTTCTATAAATATGCAAAAACCACCCAAGTCCATTCTCAATTGATTTATCTCATATATGTGTACTTGTAATTTTTTTTGTTTTTGAATATTCTCATTCTCAACTTTATCTTTTTTAGTTCTGCCAAACCTCCATCTTATAAGATGAAATATTGTGATTAGATATTCTTCTTATGATTGGAATTATGTGTACCGAACCTATCATTCTCTATAGGGTGTCAAATTTAATGTCAGTTGGAAGCAGGTTTCTAATTGGTTACTTTGTGGGTATGTGTGGATAAAATATATTATCTTTTCTAGATAAGATGGATCTGAATTGAGCCCTTATTATAAAAGTTGGAACTTCATGCTTTTTCTTTCCCTGATTTTATGCTGTCATCCTAGGAATAGTTCCAGGTGTACAAGAGTGGGGTGCTTACAAAAAATTGTCTGAGAGAGAACCATATATCTGAGTGTAATATCTCTTTGAACATTTGTAACTACATCAAAAGTATATTTTATTTTTTGTCCTTGTATCTATAGTGGATATATGCTTATAACTTGTCCCAAACGTGACAGATTCTACTTATCAGTCATAGAGATTTGTAATTTGACCCTATTGAAATATTCAACAGAGATGTACTATATCCACTGTTGTTTTCAGTTACTGTAGATAATTTGTATTGTATCACTTTTGTTTTGTATACCTTAAATGATTTCTTTCTAAGCATTTCCTTTGGGTTCATAAATTGATCCATCAGGTTGTACATTTGTGAGGAAACAGCATTGTGCCTATGGACTGGTATCTTGTACATTACATACCTCAAGTCTAATATACCAAAGTCTTGGTATGTATCTCTCTATGACCTTTTTACGATGTAAAGAAGTTTCAAAGAATTTTGGCTATAACATAATATAATACAATGTGATAGATAAATCTCTAGTGACCGTGGTTGCTGGTAGAAAGGTGTAACAGAGTTCATTGGTTCAAGAGTTGACGTTGTAGTTTTTTATGGTAATTCATATCGGATAGTTCCTGACCTTAAAAAAGAAAAGAAATGGAGGGAGGAAGAAGATAAAGAACAAATCATGGTCTTGTTATGACTCCTGTGCAACTTGCATCTTTTATTGAATGTGGAAACTGGACCTTGTGATTGGTTTTCCTTTCAGGTGGGTATACCTAATTATGATCATGCTGCTGGTCACTTTGTCAATTTCCCTAATCTTTCTGCTGCTGCTGCTACTTTTTCATAGGTAAGTTTTGTCGATTTTTTGGAGAACATAAAATCTTATTGTTCTTCATGCTAAGTTTTTATAGATCAAAAAATAACTATTTGTTTATCAATGGAATGTGTCAATATTTATTATGATTTATGAGGTTGGTGTTGACGCATGACTCTCATGGCCTCTGAAAGGTCAGATGTCGTATGGAGTTTAAGGAAGTGATTTTTTTTTTATTCTTTTAAATATTAAAAGAGTCACTTTAGAAACTTAATAATAAATGTGCATTTTATTTTTTTTCCTTCTCCGTTTTTGTGCACGTGCTGGGTGGGTGAAGGTTGGGGTTTTTGGTGTTTTTTTTTTTTTTTTTTTTTTTTGGGGGGGGGGGGGGCGGGGAAACCAACTGTAAAGCAACAAAGGGAGCAATGATGCACATCAATACATGACGAGAAAGTAGGACGAAGGGAATTTGGGGGGGTCCCTAAGGATCACCAGCATACAGTTAGAACTACACTAGACTTAGCTGAGTAGTCTCTGCAGTTTTTGCCTTCATGCCATATGTGTATAACAGCTTCTCCATTCTGAACAGTGTACTGGATACTTCTGCTCATTTTAACTAGTTAAGGTGGGTTGACAATATTGGCCCTGTCAATCATTTAAAATTGGCCTGAGAGTCACTTTTCACTTCAGAAAGTCTTCTCCCAGGCCAGTTTAATCCCAATCCAGATACCCCAGAGGTGAGCCGTTGTCTTAGGCTCCTGCCTGATGTTATTAGTGAAACCCACAAACCAGCTGCCCTGATCGATTCTGATTAATCTTCCCTTAAGGTTCCCTCCACATTGGGTTTGACCCAGTTTGTAACGAGGCAGTCCCCATTTAGTAAAGCTCGTTGTTTTGGAGTGTCCTCATCTCCTACTTCATGTAACCCCACCCCCCGCGGCTCCAGGGGGTGGGGGGAGGCACAATTGAATTGAGTAGAAGTCGAATCCCAGACTGGACTAGCTAGAATTTTGGCTTCACCATTATGGTCCTGCTTATTGTAGCAGCCCCAATTGAATTTTATAGTCTCAATGAACAAGATTCTCCAGTCAAGTTCTCCACCATGGAGGTACCTCCGCCCACTAGATGCCACTTTATCCACTTTTTTTTGTTAGTGCTCGAGTAAGAGTTGATTCCCCACGATGACCACGGATCGAGCAGCTAGCACTGTCCAATATTTGTCTTTTAAACTTCCAAACTCATTCTAGGTTTTGTGTCCAGAAGCAGTGCCATCATGTTTCACCTGAAGCTGATAGGCTGATTTTGTCCATTTTGAGTAGCCTTCCAAACCAACACATCTGCTATCTCCATTGTTGTCATGAATCAGAAGAGCGATTCTTATCAGCTGCTCCAGAACAACCTCCAGAAGCTTAGAATCGAGGCTTGTCCAAATTCATGAGCCATTATCTGACCAGTAACCCTGTGGAACTTTCAGCAAGCACCCCCTAGGAAAACCTTTCAGCAGTTGGTCACATAACAACACATTTTTCGAGAAATTGACCATTTCTCTGATGCCAGCCCTCTGTTTTGGACCCTCCTAGAACACCTCTTAGTCAAGAAGTTATTTGACCTTGGAATCGAAAATGGAATTTCCATTGGTTA